CTTGCCTCAGGCAACAAAATATCTCAGACCATCCCTGCCTAGAACTCAAGATCTGCTCAGATTTAATATGCACACATATAACAAACCCTGCAATAGGAATTTAAGCAGCACTCTGCTGGATTACAGCCAAGGTTCTATCTAGTCCCATGCCCAGTTTTTCACAAGGGTCAAGCAGATGACCCAATGGAAAACATGAATGGGTGTAAGTCTCCTGCCTAATTTGTTCATGACATTTGGTACTCAAGGGACGTCCTACTTACTGATGTACCTACTTGTAGAGGGAGGATGCATTTTATTATCATGGTCAGTAATAGGCATAACAATCCTAACCAGAATAAAAAGTATAGTAGTAGATATAACAGCCTGCCCGTTCAATGCATTCCAATGGGGGGGGGGAATCACCAAAAATTAACGAAGACTCAGAACAAAGCCTAATTAAGTTTGCAAATGTTTCACAAGGTGCACTAACGATTCCAAGCATTTAAAACAGGTTTCAAACATGTTAAGACACTTTTAAATGAGCGGAAACAGACATCGCAAAGCCATTGAAATGCACTGAATAGGCTTCAATGGATTCCAATGGGGGAAACATTGTTTTGCTTAGCGATGTTTCCTATGGTGATTTTTGCTTAAGGAAGGTAATCCGTTCCCATTGGAACGGATTAACCGGCTTTCAATGCATTCCTATGGGAAATGGTGTTTCACTTAGCGATGTTTTCCCATCACTGTACTTGGCTTTTCAACATTTGTTTTATACGTTTCTTTACAATGTGCTTTTAGGATAGGTCAGTCAGAGCCAGGATTATCTGGAGGCCCATTTTTGCACTTATAAAAATGATTACAAACATTTTTACAGGTTTTACAACTACAGTATCTTGTAAAACTCTGTTGAGGACTCCAACCACGTAAGATTTACAATGATGTTAACTGGAGATTCAACATTGCACCAGCTTATTCTGTCTCCATAAAGAATGAGGAAGAATTGGACTTTTTTATTAAAAGAGACGAGAGTGGGGCAGCCCCTGATTACTCAGAAGGATCCCTGGTGAATAATTTCCAAGCAAGAAAAACTTGATTCCTGACACATTTTAAAGGATTGATTTCACATCTGTTCATTTATTTAGGGGACAAAGCTGAATCATGGTGGCTGGTGAGTACTGGAGCTAGTGGGGCAGAAAAAGTCACCAGCAATGGCCTGAAGAATCCATCAGAGCTGGCTACATCTAATTCCCTACTCATACTTCCTGACCCCTTGCAAAATCTAAGCACATATAAACAAAGGTGTAGTAATTAACTAAGCAGCGCAACAGTTTCTGACTTTGGTCCAGAATGGATGTGTTGTCATGTTTGGTTCCTGCTGACTGTGAAGGTGTGTAACTTCACTTTTACCTGCCCTGTTCTTTGAACAAAAGGTTTGACTGCAGCAGAGCTTTCAGAAGGTATACCTATCCAGGTGATCCAGGCCACACCAGTGTGGAGGAGGGTACAGCCAATATTCTACGGTGCTCTTAGACCACATCTGTGTCATCTCAAATTAAGACATCCTCCCTAGATCTCATCAAGACAACACATTTAACTAACGAACAACCCATAAAACACACAGCTAGGCAATGCATTCCTTAGGGCTAATTGAAATGCCTAGAAACTGTGACCCCTTTCCCAGAGAGGAGGGATTAATTTTGCCCCAGTTAAATCATGAGAGAGAGGGAAGGAGGGGGGAAGTCATAGACAGCAAGCAAACAGAAGTAGAGCAACCACATATTTAAAATATTTAAAACATCCAATCCTGCAAACTACTCTAACAGCAGGAAAAAGAAATAAAAATGATTGCTATCCTGATCAAACACAAACTGGTTTTTAAATAAAAAGGCCATGTCACCAGAACAAGGAATGGGGGCAGCAGACAGAGGGAGTGTCCTGGTTTTAATGAGCTTGGGGTGCCTGTCTAGCCTCCATACACACCAGCCTTTTAAAACACTAGAACTTGAAGACAACTGGACAGCCTGTCAAAAGGTAGTGGAGGCTACATGCTTCTCTCTTCCAGCAGCAAGTATTACATGTATCACATTAAAAAAAGATTCCCAAGACTTTCCCCCCAAATTTCTTGATTTCTTCTTTAAAAGATATCATAAGGCATGTTGAGAGAGGGCAGTTAAAAAAAAGATTTCCAAGACTTTTCCCCCAAATTTCTTGATTTCTTCATCAAACGATATCATAAGGCATGTTGAGAGAGGGCAAAGAAGAATCCAGGGAAACTGTTCCATTTCCCCCCTCCCATGAATTCACTTGGCATTTTTTTTCTCCTTCATTTCTCTATTACTCTCTTCGGATTTTCAGTGTGAGACAATGCTTTTTTGAGATTTCCAAGACTTTTCCCCCAAATTTCTTGATTTCTTCATCAAACGATATCATAAGGCATGTTGAGAGAGGGCAAAGAAGAATCCAGGGAAACTGTTCCATTTCCCCCCTCCCATGAATTCACTTGGCAATTTTTTTCTCCTTCACTTCTCTATTACTCTCTTCTGATTTTCAGTGTGAGACAATGCTTTTTTGCCAGATATTCCAAGAATACAATCACATGCTGCTGATATCCCTTGCTGAGGAGAGGCGAGGATGATGCTGAGTACCAGAGCATCATCCTTCCTCAATTCTCTCATGGGTGGATTCAACGTGTCAATAACATTTCCAAATGCTTTGGGTATGCTTCAACAGGGAATACTGAGATGGATCAGCTATTTCTGCTGTCTGACCTGGCCACTTGCGGGGCTTGGCAGAACATGAATGGACTGCCCTCTCAGCATGCCGGCTTTACCTCTGTCATCACCACATGACAATCTGGCAGTGGGATGGAAGAAACAAAACAGAACCACCTTTGTGTTACATTTACTTTAGTGGGCAAACAAAGCTTAAGATCCTAGCATTTGGTGGTGGGGAACTCTACTGATCTTTAAATGTAACTCGAGCAAACAAACAGCACATCAATACTTTGAATAATGACACATGCCTCCCCTGGCACATATTTAGTTCAATCAATGCACTGGAACATTAGGCACATTTCATCTACATATAATAACCACAGTTAATTAGTTTACAGCTCCCCCCAGGACCACCTGGAAAGACTTTGCTCTAGGTCCTGTGGCTGACTGAACATCTTTTAGCAGTGACCTAGAAATGAGGTTTATTGTATCAAAGTCCCTGTTCTTTGGGAAGCCCTCCCTGTTGCTGAAGAGGAGGCATCATATATCATGTTCTAATTGTGACACCCCATTTCTGGAGCAAGGTGCGTGGTTTTATTTTTTCATCCTTACATATCAGGATGAAGCACTTCTTCCCCACTTAGACCAGAGGTCACTGTGTGTACCTCAAAGGCCTCCTGTAGATGCACACACTTTCTCGTGGTCTTCTCCTAGCTTTTTGCTTCTGGTCTTTATACTTTCCACAAGCCGCAGGCTGTGCCATTGCAACTGGGCATCATCATAAAACAGGCAGACCCTGAGACACGTGCTCAAACCAGAATGAAAACCAGGACCAAGAATGACTTTGGCCAAGCTAGCATATCTATTTTTTTCAAAGCCTGGACCAAGAGATGTGCATCACAGATATGCCACTGGAGCCAACAGCCAGAGGCAGCCTGGTAGCGGTAAGGGTTGGATTTGGATTCCAAGAACACTGGGAAGGCTGCCTGTTCTTCATTTCTATTCCATGCCTTTCTCTTAACTTGGCCTACATCCCAGACCTTCGTAACAGTGAGTGTTCCAGGAAGGAGGCCATACTGTACCTGATGGAAGATTCCCTGGAGCAGTGGTCCCCAACCTTGGGCCTCCAGATGTTCTTAGACTACAACTCCCAGAAGCCTTCACCACCACGTCTGCTGGCCAGGATTTCTGGGAGTTGAAGTCCAAGAACATCTGGAGGCCCAAGGTTGGGGACCACTGCCCTGGAGGACTGACAGTGTAACCAGACTAGCTGCCTATACACATGGGACCACGTACATGGATCTGAGCTGCTTAGAAGGCATGGAAGTAGCAACGCAAAGAAGCTGATTCTTATTCATCATGGGATTCCCTTTGCCCCCAATAAGGTAAGTGGAATTTAAGGACCCCTGAATTCACAGGATCCCTTGAGTCCAGCAAAGCAGAGTTCCAGGCAGCATCTGAATAAAAACCTCTACAGCTTTCCTTTTAACAGAAAGGACTGTAGATAACTGGATAAACACTTTTCTCAGAACCCTTTGGCAGAAGAGGTAGTAGAATGTGTCCCCCAACCCAATTTGGATTGCAGCTCCCATGAGCCATAAAACACAATCAATGGTAAGGGCTGGTGGGCGTTGTAATCCAATAACTTGTAAGTGAGCCACAGACACTTCCCTTTCCAGGTCCAGGGGAAGGCCCAGAAGCTCAGATGTCCAGTGCAGAGTTTACTTTATGGGTGACATCTGGCAGCCTTTTGGATGCTGTTGGACCACAACTCCCATCAGCCCTCGCAATTAGCTAGGCTGGCAAGAGTCATCCAGCAACATCTGGGGGGGCGAACTGTTTCCTTCTCCAGGTCGATAGGCAATTCACAACATCTGTCACTAAAAGGATCTCAAGTAGTAAGGCTGGAAAGGTCTTAACCTGAGAAACAGCACAACCACTTGTCTAACTGGACAAACAATACAAGGCTCCATGGCTTGATTCGTGAAGGTAGCCTTTGAACATTTATCTCCACTCAACAGTAGTGTTTCAGATCTGGGTGCTCTTGAGCATCAACCAACCATTGGGAGAGACTGCCCAGCAAAATACCTGGGTGCTCTTGAGCATCAACCAACCTTAGCTGATTTTAACCATTGGGAGAGACTGCCCAGCAAAATGTACACACATGCATCCAACCCCTCACTTGCATGCGCTCCATTTATCAACAAACCAGTCTCCCTATTTCAATACATAAACCATTTCACATCCTGCTCAGAACACTCCCATCCCCACCTCACCCAAACAAAAGCCAACACCCAACGGGAGCCTGAGTGGACCTGGATTTATTGATAGAAAAATGAATTGTGAATAGTTCTGTAGGTGCCAAAGGAGGCGGCAGGATTCTGTGAGCCTCACCCCTTCCCTGGGCAGCGATTCTTTACCTCCAGTCACCCATTAGGCAGCTCTGATTGTTCAGCACTTGAAGGAGATCACTGGTGTTACTTCAAAAGATACTTCAGCCAGACCTGGGACTTGAAACGTAACAGAATGAATAGCCAGATCTTTACACAGGGCTTTGCCACCGAGGCCGTATGGTTACGCAGTCCATACACTCCTATGTTTAAAGTCCTAGTATGTGTGAAATGATGAGGATAGAACAGCATCCAATATTCTCTTCTCCACATCATTCCACATCCTTTTTTGCTGAGTTCATGAGCTCAAGGCTGTAACCCCTGACACTGGCCTGGTGCTGCCCAAGTGAAGGCAGTCACAAGGAGCGGCCTATACGATATGACGCCAATACACCTTTGATTCGCAAACATTCAGACAAAAATGGGGATGCCGTGAAGAGGCCCAAACAAGATAGGGAAAGATTGTTCTCTCCTCCAGTTTGACATTTCAAGGCACGCAGGTGAGACACAGCCCTCTACACAAGCCTGGGAATGAAGTTTCTTCCACACACAAGCAGCTCTGGGAAACAAAGGGGCACCCATGCCAGTCTTTACCCTGATTTCCAGATTGCACTGAACCAAAATGAGTTGTTTTTTTTTAAATAGGGCTCCCCCTTTTTCGTTGCACTCCACTATACCGCTTCAGGTCAAGAGAATTGGGCACACACATTACTACCATAGAGAGAGATGGGCAGACGGACATCTGTGCTCCTTCAGTCAAGGCCCTGCCGGCAGGAGAGCAGGGGCCAAAGGCCTACCACTTGGCATCAGAAAAACGTTGTTGTTGTTTGGGCCCTGAGAAAAGGTTCCCAGTTTTATCTGAGACAGCTTGCAGATGGGGAGGAAAGCTGATCATGGTGCCTTAAGAGAAAGTTCATGTGCCAACAATGGGCCTAACGAAGACTGTTTGCACCTCAGAGCAAGAAATGCCCTTCACGCTGGCCACCTGCTGTGGGATTCTGGTCATTATAGGAGGAAAAGAAAAGAAAAACCAAACAACTGTCTTCCTCGTGACAGGCAGGTCAAAGATGCCAGCCAGGGACCGCAGGGGAACAGACATGGTTGCCAGAGTTCAAACGTTTATCAAGGTTCAGAAATCCAACTCATCGGAATCTGTGCCACCAGCTGCTGGTAGCTCTTCCTGGTCACGCCCCCAGACAAAGCGGTAGTTGTCTTCCAGCTGGCGTTGACGCCGCTGCTCCTTGTGAGCTTCCTCTGTGCCCTGGATCTACAAGATGAAGAACACAACCATGAAACCTTCAACCCTCATCCATTTACACAGTGGATGACAACATCTAGGAACCACTCCAAATTTAAGTGTTTTGATGGGGAAACCAACAGCAAGCTCTCCTCTGCCCAACCCCAGAAAGGACGCGGGGCCTCCAGAAGTGGTGCCATTATTCTAAGGGAAATCTGTTCTGGCCAAGCCTTGTGGAAATCAACAAAGCTGTTCAGTGCCCACTTGCCCATGCATAAAGGAACGCAGTGGGTAAGAACTGAGAAAATTACAGGGCCCTCATTCTGCTACAACTGGCTATGCTCTTAGGGCTGAAAGGAGTCAGTCCAATAACCACGTCTCAGACTCTGCTTTTGGGTTAGATCTATGTTTCCCACTTGGCTGCCTAAGTGCTCCTGCAACGCAACTGACTGAGCTGGTGTCCTCACTTTGGTTCAAGGAAAGAGCCTCTATCTAAAAAAGATAGAAGACCAGGGTCATCACGCGCACATTGTTGTCTCCTTAACGGCAACGGATGTCTCTACTAGTTATGCAGGAGGAGACAACCTGCAAGCAGTTCCCATAGTCAGAGAGGATAAAATAATGATTTTTCACACCAATGGTTCCTAATGTTCTTGGACTACAACTCCCAGAAATCCTGGCCAGCACAGCTAGTGGCGAAGGCTTCTAAGAATTTTAGTCCAAGAACACCTGGCGACCCAAGGTTGGGAACCACTGTCTTATACTACAACAATGTCTGTTCCTTGGGTCCTTACCAAAATATTGAAGAAAATGTCCTTGAGGTTCTTGGTGTCTTCTTCTGAGAGCCAGTGGGTGTCATCATCATCCCCAAGGCCACCCGTTGTTACAATCTTGATTTCAATTTTACCTGCCAGACGTAGAGTGAGCCAAACGTTAGTTAGCCTCAACCCCACAAATCCTGAGAGCAACCTTCCTAAAGCTGCTATGAATGAAAACTCCTGGCATTCTTGACTATGACCAACGCTGGCTGGAACTGACTGGAATTGAAATCCAAAAGGGGCAGATACCAGGTTATGGAATCACGTCTAGGAAACTGCCACGTGCAGGTCTTGCCCTGTCACATTTTTAATTTTCAAAGATAGCCACTAAATCAGGGATGGAAGCTCCACATGCTCATATCTAAGACCCTGGAGAGTTACTTCTGCTCCACTCTCCCTGACTCTGAAAAAAAGGGGGAGGTTCTTTGACTAAACAACAATAAAAAAATTGTAATACATATATATATAGACCGGGGAGGGCACAGGAGCCTCAGGTTCTATAAGCTCCCCAAAAGTGCCAAAATTGTTTCCAGGAGGGCACAAGAGGACTTTCTGAGCAGCAATAATCATGATGATGATGTATGTGTTTGGGGTGGTGGTGCTTGCAGGCACATTGGGGTCCCTGGGGACTGCAGGGTTGGTGGTGCTGGCAGGCACATTGGGGTCCCTGGGGACTGCATGTTGCCCATGGGTTACTTCTTGCCCACACCTGCTCTAAAGGTGAAGTCTGTGGTATCTAACCTTGTGTACAAATGTAACTAAAGAAAGAATACAGTGGTGCCTCGCTTGACGAGGATAATCCGTTCCAGCAAAATCGCTGTAGAGTGAAATCCTCGTCAAGCAAAATAAAAAAGCCCATTGAAATGCATTGAAAACTGCTCAATGCGTTCCAATGGGCTAAATACCTCAGCGTCCAGCGAAGATCCTCCATATGGCGGGCATTTTCTGCTCCTTGTGCAGCGAAAAATCTGTCCTATAGCACAGTGGGGAGTCATTTTACACAGCGGGCTGCCATTTTGAACCCTGACGATCAGCTGTTTTGATCGTCCTAATGCGAAGAATCGGTTCCCAAAGCAGGGAACTGATCGTCAGGAAGCGGAAACACCCCATTAAAACATTGTCTTGCGATCGCAATAGTGATCGCAAAAACATCATCGTGAATTAGATCCATAGTTTAACAAGGTAATTGTTAAGTGAGGCACCACTGTATTAAGTTTCAGGGTGTATGTGTGTGTAGGGGGGAGCAAAATAATGATCGATAGGAGCTCTACTAGCTGACATTAGCCAGGGTGCAAAAATGTATGTTTCTGGTGGTTTTCCGGGCGCATGGTTTTTACTCCCATCCCCTGGACTGCTTTCAATGGGGGAAAATCCACTATGTCAGCTCCTAGAAGACTGGCCCAATCCTGGAGCCTATTGGGGAACAAAAGGACTGCAGCACCAATGTATCTCAGGACCACCTCAAAACACTATGCATTGGTGTTCTACCACTGGGAGACCTTTATGCAGGCACATCAAGGACCTCTGCTACAGATTTTCTGCCCCTGGCCAGTGGAAGGGCAAGTCTCCCCCTAGCCAAAAGATCTGAAGCTATGAACAAGTCTGTGGTTCACCTGTGGCACAATCAGTTAGAATTTCACAATTTACAGCAGTCAAGCTTTGCCCAATCTGTATCTCTTTTGGCAACAGAAAAAGTTCAATTTTGTAGAATATCAACAGTCAGGTATTTAGAGATTTCTCTGTTTCTTTTTCTCCTTTAATATTCAGGCTTTGAGAAATACTAGCAGACCAACTGACCTTGATTTTAAAAAGTTCATAATCTAAACTCAACAAGGTATACTTCAATCTCTCCTGCAAGTCAGCTCTTTTTCCTTATTTACACCTTCATAGATCTCGCTTTTTTAAAAAATGAAGTTATTTACTGCATTTCTTAGCTGCTTCTCAATACTGCGGGTCTGTATTCATTTTAGGCTTCAGGTTTTACAACCTCATGATCATTTCTCCCAGTTTCATTCCTAACCTCTTAATCAATATCAATGTGATGCAAAACATGCATTTTTAAAAAAAGAGGATTGATTTAAAATTATTTTTGTTTCCAAACACAGAGATGTCAAATTAAAGGAGACGCCAGAAGCCATCATTGAGGCCAAGGTTCAAAAAGCACAGTTTGTTTAAAATATTTTTATCCCACCTTTCTCCTTAAAAAGAATCCAAGGTCGCTTTACAATAGAGTGCCTTCCCAAACAAGATTTGCATGATTTACAGGGCTTAACCAAGGGATCTGATGTAGATCCTCCCAGATCTTGAAAAAGTTACTTTATCTAGACAGCAACTGCCATGCTGATCGGAGGTTCCTGAAAGCCACAAAATGAGTACTGTGACTCTTTCAAGCTCAAATAGTTTCTACTGAGTCAAAGTTGGAGTCACTCTGATGGTGCTCTCCAGCCAGTGCTCCCCAGATAGCAACGATACCCAAGACTGGATTTAATTCAAGTTACAAGGAAAGAACCAGGGACTGATGTGTGTGTCAGAAACATGTGATCATCCATCTGGGTGCTGTGGCCCCATCCCAGTCACTTCCGTGCATAAGGAAATGCTGTAAACCCTGGCCTAAAAAAATCTTCTCAGGAAAATCATTATCAGATTAATGTCCTGAGATAATCAGCTCATGATTAGAGTAGTCCATGACCCACACACGTTGGCCACCGGAAATCCTTCAGTAATTATTATTATCCTCACCGCCTTGGTTGCTCTCTCCCCTAAAGCCCCTGGCCTGGAAAGGGCTCCAAGCACAGCCTATCATCACCCGCTGTCCAGGCTGCATTACCTTCTGCCTTCAGGCCTTCCTTCTCCAACAGGTCCTTAACCACGCTCTCTATGTGGTGCAGCTGGGGATTGTTCCTGCTCATCTCTTGGACGCGCAGCTCCTTCTGCCGAGTGCTACCTGGCTTTACTTTAGTGACCCTGACTTTCACACTCCTGTCCAGCTCACCATCTGAGACAGAAAGGGGACAGAGGCATGTCAGCAGGCTTCTGCAGGAGGGGGCGGGACGACATTTGCTAGCAATGGGATTTTTTGGACTACAAATCCCATCATCCCCCACTCCACTTGATTTGCACACACCTTACTAACGCCTACATGTGGTTCACCTGGGAGAAAAGGCCTAAACTGAAAGGCTTTGAGGCCTAGCGCCACTGACACTTCTTGTTCCCACTGCTAGTTTTTTTTTCCTCTGAACAGAATGCTAGGCCTTGCTAAGTCTCAAAGCCCCCCAGCTTACACCTTTTCTCCTAATTAAGCCACATTTTGGTGTCTGTAAGATGTGTGCTAAGTCAGCTAGAACTCCCAGAACAGGATTTTATGAGATTTGTAGTCTAAATAATAATAAAAAATCCCATTCCTAACTTTTGCATCCAAATATTTTGAGCATATCAAAGCATCCTAGAAGAAGAAGCAGGTCCCTGGACAGCAGAGGAAAAGGAAGGCACAAAGTTGCAGAAAGGTGTGGAGATCAGACAGTGGGCTGGGCCTAGATCACCTCTGAGCGAGCACAGTAAAAGCCGTCTCCTCTGTGGGGTATAACAACCTACCAGGGTCTCCGTATATATGCCTGCTTGGCAAAGTCAAGCCCCATGGAGGCTGTGGTACAAGGCCTGACAGAGGCGGCATTTAGCTGGGTTATGTCCCAAGTCACATCAACCTTCAGGGAATAATGGCAGGATAGGCACAGCTCCAAACTGGGCTCAGAATTCACCAAGAACCCAAGCTTTAAAATGACAGGAATAAGTTCCTAGCCCTTAAGGCTTAAAAAATCCCTGGGTAATACCTGAGAACAAGGAAAATGGAGAGAGAGAAGCTGGGCTGTCAAGGCTTCAGAGCCTACAGTCTCGCCCATTATCAAGAGGGGGGGAAACTCGCATGAAAAGCAAGCAAAGAGAGGCATAACTGCTTTGTTTGAGTGATTTACACATGAACACATAATGAGAAGTGCAAAAGCTTTCAACACAGAAAGATAAGAGCTGGGAACTTAGATTATGGAAGCAAGAAACTGTAAACTCTGCAAAGCATTGAGTTATTCCCCTTCGTTGGAAACTGGTATTAAAGGGCCTGAGCAGCAGCAGCAGCAAACTGAGGAAGATGAGCAAAGCTGTTAATAGTGTTTGGCCACCCCTCCCTGTGACTGGGGGGCAGTTCCCCCTTCTCCTTCATCCGCCTGTTCCCTCAGACGACTCACGGATGCCATCAGTTAATATCAAAGGTTCCTTTATTTTTTAAAAAAACTGCTATTGCTAACATTATCAGCTGTCTCTTCCTCTTGCTTTAGAGCCTTTCTTTCTAGTAGCTTTTCTTCAAACAGTAACAAGTCCTTCTCAGCATGTAGAGGTGTGGAGCTAAACTCTTTATGTTGCCATTTGTGGGTTATGCCCGTTTCCTCTGTTAATACGTCCCTCCACCCTTTTCCAACCAGGCCTTTCCATCTCTAGCTGCTCCGATGGAACTTTTGGTCACATCACCATGGACTAGCAGTCCTTTGGCTCAGTTATGGAGACTGAAGAGGACAAAGGGCAGCCCTCTCAATGTCATTAGACTACAAGTCCCATCAGGACAGCCAATGATAAGGAATGCTGGGGTTTGCAGTCCACCAATATCTAGAGGACTGTCTGTTGCCCAGTCTAGATTTAGGACATCAGTACCAACTTGATTGTCGAGCCAATGTACTGGAAGTACATCTGCCATTGTGTGATTTGGCAAAGTGGTGCCCTCTACTGACCAAACATTGATGAACACTGATCCTCACATTGATGAACACTGAAACAATGGAATGCTGGGGTTTGCAGTCCACCAATATCTAGAGGACTGTCTGTTGCCCAGTCTAGATTTAGGACATCAGTACCAACTTGATTGTCGAGCCAATGTACTGGAAGTACATCTGCCATTGTGTGATTTGGCAAAGTGGTGCCCTCTACTGACCAAACATTGATGAACACTGATCCTCACATTGATGAACACTGAAACAATGGAACACCCCGTGCGCTATTTGGCAAAACGGTGCCCTCTACTGGCCGAACTGGATCCATCCTCACATTGATGAACACTGAAACAATGGAACACCCCTTTGTTGGGCTAAAAGGACATACCAGGAGATGGCTTGGCTGCGTTTCCTTGAGCAGTGTTTCCTCCATCCACAGGCGCCTCCTTGTCTTCCTCCTCCAGCTGCTCGGGTTCCTGCTCTTTGTCCCCTTTATTTGGGGCTGGGCGCCTCCTTGCCTTCCTCCTCCTGCTCTGGCTCCTGCTCTTTGTCCCCTTTATTTGGGGCTTGTCCTGAATCCAGCTTGTCAATGAGTTTGTTGAGGGTTGACGCCAAAGACTTGGAGGCTTGTTTCCGATCAAACTCACCTTTCAAGCCTTCCGTTTCCAGCTCGTCCTCCACCTGCCGAGCCAAGTGATCAGGGAAAAATTATGGGCTATGGGTTCTCTTGAGAAATGAAAGGCGAATCTCAAAGAGCTGACTAAATGCCTGCACAAGCAACACGTGGAACTGGGCCTTCTGGGGAACTGTCTGCAACCTGGCAGCTAATTCTGCATTCAAGATAAAAATAATAACAGAGCCTTCCAAGATGTCTTTATTGCTCACTTAAATGCCTCGAGAAAAATGGAGTTCTAGAGCTGAGGCCACTAACAAGAAGGCTTCTTCTGCACACAGCCGGCCTATAAGATTTTAAGGGAAGGCACACCAGAAGCACCGTCAACAAAGGTCTTCATGTACAGGGCAAGACTATATGAGCTGCAAGCCTTCCTTTTGTGCCTCCTCTTTGTTTGTTGCTTTTTTTTTAAGCTCAAAGGTTTTAGCTTATTCAAGCAGAAGCCACTGGGAATGTAAGTAACAAAGGAGGAGGAGCAGAAAGCCCTGCCTCTGGGATTAGCTCCACCCACAGCTTTCCTGTGCAGGGCAGACCAGGGGAAAGAAAAAGGACAGCACAGATGGGAAACAAAGCTTCAGCTCCAGAGATCCTGACCTCATCAATGATGTGATCAAACTCCTTCTCCATCTCAGACTTCACCTCTTCCTTCAGCTTGGCCATTTCAGACTTGGGCAGCAGGATGTCTTCCAGCTCATTCTCAAATTTCCCCAGAAGATCTTCCTCATCCTCGTCGCCCTCTTCGGCCCCTTCCTCGCGGTGTTCTGTCCCTACCGCTGTCTCACTTTTGGAAGGGGCTTCTGCCATCACTTCCTCTGACTCACCCGCCTTCTCTTTACTCTGGAGAAAGAAAAGGGGAGTCCCTCAACCAACACCCGGAGGTGGTGCCTGGCTGACCCAGTTCTGCCATCCCATAACTTTGAAAACAAAAGACACAGAATTCATTTTCAGATGTCCACGGAAGAATTATATGTCAGAATAGGATCAAAATCATGTTCACTCTGCTCCCCACTGTAATGCCATCAACATAACTTTCAGCAGTGAATGGTTGCAAATTAGGAAGTAGGCACAGGTATTACCTGTCACGCGCCAGTGCATTCGCTCGGTGTGTTACTGGAAATGCCTATGATGACTTCCTAACTGGTGCCAATTTGTGGCGGAAAGTTAGGCTGATGATGTTATGCTGGCAAGCGTAACAAGCAGGATTTGGGGGCTGAGTTCCTATTTCCTCCCATTTATAAAACTGCCCTAGGAAAAATAGCTAAATGACAAATTTCAACACTATGCTTTACATATGTCCCATAGAAAATGTTTCCAAAATATGGCTTCTACAAAAGAATGGAATACATAACCACTTGAGGCCCAAGAAGGCACAAAGAAACATGTCCTGTACATGCATGGTATTTTGCAACAAGATTTTGGCCATTCCAGCCCCCTTAAAAAAACACTAGATATTCCAAAGTATACATATGGGAGTCAAGTCCAAAGTGATAACTAGAGTGCATGGACGCAGCTATATGCAAATAAACTGATTAAAAAAGAGGAGTCTTCCTCTCTTGGCACCACATGAGCCATATACAGGGACAATGCTCACTTACAAGTACAAACCTACAGCTATGTCACTACAGAGTCAGACAATTTGAGTAGAGAAGAAAGCTGCACCATTGTTGGCAAGAGGTCCTTGTTGATCTTCAACACTAAAGAGCTAACCTGATTTGCTTTCTGCTGATCTCTGGGCGAAATCAATCAGTGAGAGCAGGAGACCGTAATAGTCCCGCTGGAACAGACCCCACCCCCTTTCCAACACTGGCCGTCTTCCTAGTTGTCTCTGGGAAGTCCACGAGCAGGCCAAGGGGGCTGAAACTCTTTCCAACACAGTTGTTTTCCAGCAGTGGAAGGCAGTACTTCCTATGAACAGGGAGATTCTCTGTTGCCTCAGAGCCATTCCACATTCACATAACAGAAGTTTGGCTGAAGTTCTTCTTGAAGCAATCTTCCAAGAAACCAGGGAGTCTTATCATAGAATCTTACCTTCCTGGAGCTCTCCTTCAAATCATGAATGAATTGAACCAGGTCCCCGGGGTTCCGGATCACCTTGAAGTGTATCTTTTTCTTGAAATCTGATAATTCAAACAACAGGTATTAGAACCTCTTTCAGAACTGGCATACAGACAGCGGAACACACACACACTGCAACTTTTAGAAGTTGTCTATGAATGTGCAGATATGTATTTGCTTTGCATCATTCCTAATGCTTTAGACTTGACTTTGGAAAACCATTTAAACCCCAGCTCAGACACTAATTTGCGAGTTTACACTAAGATATAGTATTGAAGTGAGGGTATTCAACCCACATGTCAGTTCAAAAAGCTCCCCAAACAGCTTGTACACAACTGACCACAAAATGCACACGCAAACACACAAAAGGCTTACAACTGGACACGGCACAAAGGAAAAAGAAGAAAAAATATATATGCAGGCACTAGTTCTTAAAGTTATCAAGTTAGGTCTAAATGGCTGGAAATAGTTAAAAGCAAAGGAGCCTGACTAAGCTGATCTATCAGGAAGGCTGAAAGATAAGGAAGCATCTTGACTCGGTGACAGAAGTCTTGGTGACAAAGTGCCACTCACCAACAAGGGGCTGGTTGTGTTCCTGGCATATACCCAGTCATGCAGTGAGGTCCCTGGCCAGAGACACAACCAGGGCCTTGCAGATGAGCAACAATTTGCCATCAATGTTTATGCCATTTCCCTTAGGCAAGCATAAATGGGCCAATTACTTCTTACTGGTGCAAATCTGGCACAGCTCTTCTCCTCTTTTATGCCTTTGAAACTAAGAGCAAACAGCCTTTGAAGGCTTTGCAGTCGGTGTACTTCTGAGAGGTACGTATTTGGTGTAGCAACTGGTGATCGCCACTTAAGAGGAAAGCGCACCTTTGTGATAGTAAAACTGATGGCACAGGCAGGCAGTTCAGAGCTAAATGAAGACCTTTCGGGGTGCTCCACTTTGAAACATTTCCTGTTAAGGGAAAACCCTACACTGCCTCTCAGCTGAGGGATCCTTTTCCATAGGATCCTTCTGAACCACTTTCTTTAGATCCAGTCATATAACACGGATGGGGCCATGTAACTACCTGCTAGGTGACTGTCTGCTGTCTTCATGATTGGCTCTTCTTCCTGAGGAAAAAGACATCAAGAAAATGATGAGTGGCAAGACACACGGGAGCCACTGTTGTAAGGTAAAGCACCCAACATTTCAGTGTCACGCAAGCCTTACTTTTCCTTTTGCTAGATGAAATAAGTGTCTATGTTTTCTTTGAAATTGTATCTCTGTCATAGACCAGATCCAAGTGATATGCAGCATTATGCTCCAGCAGTTCCCAACCTTGGGTTCCCAGATGTTCTTGGACCAAAACTCCCTTCACCACTAGCTATGCTGGCCAGAATTTCTGGAAGTTGCAGTCCAAGACCATCTGGGGACCCAAGGTTGAGAACCACTGTTCCAGCAGAGGCACCTATTTTTGTAGGTATGGAACCCTTAACTACCTGTTGAAGTCGGTGCTGTGTTGGAGTTACCTGCAACAGCACCTGACAGACTGAACAATGTTACCTATTTGGATTTCTAACCTTTCCCACCCCCACCCCACAGGCCTATAGTCAGTAACATCACATAAAAACATGAATGCATACTTTATCCAATGCCTACACTTCTTCCACATCATTAATATATCCCATGAGAGTATTTCAGGAGTAACATTTTGTGCAGGAGGGACGTTATACAGAAATGAGGGAGTGATCGCTTTACATTTACAAACAATTTTTTTTTCCTCTCACACAGATGTTATAATAAACATGTGCTGTCAAGTCAATTCTAAAATGAGGGAGTGATCGCTTTACATCTACAAACAATATTTTTTTCCTCACACAGATGTTATAATAATCATGTGCTGTCAAGTCAATTCTGACTCATGGTGTTTTTCAGGAAGAAAATATTCAGAAGCAGTTTACACTTCCCTTCTTTTGGGGCTGCCCTGGGACTGTGCAGCTAGCCCAAGAGCACAGTCTCTCTGGAGGTACAGGGGGGAACTGAACCTCTGCCTCTGAAGCAAAATATGTCAACTACTAAGCTATCTCTTTGGTACGGTATGACAATGGGCAATTCAATCATGTGGTTCAGTCATTTGATTTATACACTATTTTCACACTAGGGATCCTTCAACTGGATTACTGTAACATTCTCTATATGAAATTATTGCTTCAAAGCTCTTTGCAATCATTAAAGATCTAGCCTCTCTTGAAACCAAGTTTAGTTTGCAAATAGCAAAAAGATAAGGATTTCTCGCTAGCAGCACCAAGACTGTGTGGAACTCCTCAAGAAATCTAGCAAGCCTCTTCTGCTTTACAATTTCAAGCCTTCTATGAAGACGCTTCTACTCAGGAAAGCCTCTTCTGAGTTGCAGTATTTCTGTGAACACTGTGTTAACACTTTAAATACAGTCATGCTCCTCAATTTCTTATATAATACTGTTTCATCTTCACACACACACACAAAAACACAATATTCTGAGCTGCCACTAGAAAATATTCCTAAAAATACAGAACATAAGCCTGTACAATGATATAACAGAAGATTTCCACAGTTCAAAATCTAATCAGATACCAGGGAGGCATGCCTTGTCTGTTGTACCCTGCTCTCCTCAAAGAAATCTACTGATGCTTCTCAGATTTAAAGAAAATGAAAAGATGCTGGCTATTGGCAAACATCTTTAATTGGTGTACATGTTCAAAATATAATAGGGAAGGAGTATAATTACTCAGGTGTAAGTACAGCAGGTTACCTTTGTTTGGTCTGGCACCTGGGCCGCTTTCCCATCTCCACGTAGAACTCTCTCCCAGAAATCAGAGTCATCCTCTGGTTCCGTCTCAGGAGGAGGAGGAGGAGAAGGAACTGGAGTCACTGAAGACACAAGTGACGCAAAGCACGTGAGTGGGAGGGAAACAGCTGGGGCTCACCGACAGCACCCTCAGAAAATCCTGAGGTCTGAGACTATTCTTCACTGTCAAAGTGCAGAATTCTGCAGTCACAGTATTTAGTGTAAAGACAATCTTGGCTCCTGTTTACACATTCCTAGCCTGCAAAGAATGGTACTATATGCATGAGCACAAGTCAAATAAGCTGGCTTGAACTGGCCAAATCTCGCCAAAGATCAGAACTGTACTGGCCTTCTGTACCCTTTCAAACTAGCAAACTCCCAAGGTAACTGGTTCCACTGCCATCCTGCTCTAACAGTTAAGAAGTTTTTCCTGATATTTAGCCAATACATATCTTCTGACTTTTTTGAAGAACTTATTACTTAAATCTAAACCATTACTCCACCCTCACGGCCTATGTTATTTTCAATATCATCCTACTGATGTTGCATTAGCTTTCTCCATGAACCATAACCTCCAGCAGGCCCAATCACTGCACGTATTAACCAGGGATGGGTGTACGGCAGTGGAATTCATATAATTTGGAGGATGTTAAGTAGATGAAGGGCAACAGACGTACCGCTTCCATCCAAATCTTGAGCGACAGTGTTAGAGTCTTGCTCATTCCAGAGCCGTGTGTCTAGCATCTTCAACTCTTCAGAGATCTCTTCCACTTTGCGCTTGGTGTCAGCTGCAGAAATTTAGATGAGGCATGTTGATTACACAAACTTTTTCGACTTACCACAACTGCCATAGGAGTCTTTTGTTGCCCAAGATCCCTTCTCGTGGTATATGGCTCTTATGAGAGGGCAGAGGGGAAAATGGGCATCAGAAATAGGGTTGGGCATGGGGAGGATGGGGTTTCATCGAGGCGAGAGCAGTTGGGTTTTGGGAGAGCTCCTGAAACTGACGGGGCCCCCTTGGTTTCAAGACCCCCCAATGTAGGGGACAAAAGGACGGTCCACTAGGAAAAGCAGCATGTAAAGCAGCAGAGGTGACAGAAAGGGGAGAGAAGTCGGTGGAAGCTGCTCCCCCCCCCTTGATGTCTTATCTGAGTGCGCTGACCAAAGAGGAAGCCATGTTGGGCAAGAGCTGGGAACACCTCTTGCAGAGAGTGGAGGAGTCCAGAAGGATGTTGGAAAATATTCTGTCCAGGACTCTTAAGTAAGTGAAGATATGTGTTCTATATAAAGAAACCTTTATGGACCCAAAACAATGACAAAGAAGAAAGCTGGGCTTAACAAGTTAATGAAAGTGGATTAGATCCTGTAACCCTTCAAACCATGGTAGAGCGAGGCTCCTACTCCCATCCTTCAGCCTCGACCAGGAGAAGGAGAAGAAAGAGAAGGAGAAAGAGGGAGGAGGGGAGAAGGTTATTTTGGGACTGAGCTGCTCTAATCAGAGGCAAAGACTTGCTCCAGCAGGACAATCTGGCCGTGGTGTTTTGGACGCACTCGCGTTTCTGAAGACTTTCCAAAGGCAGCTCCCTGTAGAGCATGCTGCAGTAAATCAGCCAGGATGTCACTAAGGCATGTATCACCATAGCCAGTTCAGACCTCTCAAGGAATACATGTAGCTGGCATGCTAGGGTTTAACTCTGCAAATGCACTCCTGGCCACAGACAAAACCTGGGCATCTAGGCTCAGAGATGAATCCAGCAGCACCCCCAAACTGCACAACTGTGTTTTCAGAGGAAGTGTAACCCCATCCAGCACAGGCTGAATCCCTATTCCTTGCTCTGCTTTTCGACTGACCAGCAGCACCTCTGCCTTGTCTGGATTAAATTTTACCTTATCCAGTCCATTACTGACAACAAACACTGATCGAGAACTGAAACAGCTTCCTTGGATTTAGATGGAAAGGAGAGACAGACTTGGATGTCACCCACATAATGGTGACACTAAACTCAAAAACATGTTCTCCAGCCGTACTCTAAGGCAAAAACCACCAATGGCTAGGTATAATTTGCTCTGGAGACCAACATGCCTGTCCCTACACCACTCTGCCTCTCCTCTCTGCTCTTGGCCACAGAAAATGTGGACAATGGGAAAGATGTGGACACGCACTGAACTCCCTCATCACTTAAAACAAGGAGAATCAAGCCCCCAGAAGCCATATGGAAACATAATTCATCTTGAAAACAAGGCAAGTATCCCTTGTGTGCATTTTCTTTCAAAAGAGTTACACTGTTTTGCCCCCAAAAGGTTGCTTCAAGGTCCAGTGCCTTCAGTATCATGCACCCGAACAGCGCTAGATTCCTTTTCTGGAGCAGCCCCAGTGAGAAACACGTGGCCTCAGAACTGTAGTCCCAGCCAACAGGACACTGAAGTACTCACACACTTGGGCCTTGACGTACTCCACGTATTCGGCAGGGCTCAAGGCCGGATGGCAGCGGATGGTCTGAGGGGTGGCAGTGGATGGTGGCCGCAAGAAAGGGTGATGGCAAATGCGCGTGGTGTGAACTGTCAGCACGTAGGAACAGGACTGAGGCTCATCAACTCGGGCAATGTAGTCACCTGAACCTTCCTCACACAGAAACTGGAACGGAAATGTGAAGAAATTCTTTTTTATTATTACCGCCATGTCGACACCCCTCCTTTGTATCCTCCCCATTTCCTATGCCACTCAAGGCAACTAGCTATACTAACACTCAAATAAATTAAAAGTTCCCATTAAACCCCCACTGTTAAAAGGCCAAGGCAGGCATTCAAGAGATTTAACTGGGATAAAATAGAGAGCGCATCTCTTTGAAAGAAGCATATTTCGAACCAAATCACTCCGCTTGGGTGAAAGAAGGCTCTCACTGGTTCATGACAGAGCTTGGCTACATTCGAAAATTAATTTGTCATTGCAAAATGTGGAAAGTCAGGAGTTTAATTCATTATTGTTAGCATGTAAAACTGTAATTGTTTAATGAATTAGGGTTATTAATCCATTACTTAAATTGTTAGATATAAGATACACAGAGGAAGTTACACAGAATGGTATCTCAGAGGACTTTTTGAACTGCTGGACAGTTAAGTGGTTTAGGTTTCTGGCTGAGGAGCCAGAGGTTGGGAGTTTGATTCCCCATTGTGCCTCCTTGACTCAATGATCCATAGGGCCCTTTACGGCTCTGCCGTTCTAAGAATATTACAACAGCCCATGGATGGCTGCCAATGAACCCCAGTGGCACATTTGTCACTGAAATCACCTTCCTCAATCTGCAACTCTTCTGCAGTTGGTCTACAAATTCCAAGACATAACTGTTAGCTGTGATTGGTTAACTAGTGTAGTTGAACACTGTCTAGTCATGAGACACTGTTCGCCCTGGACAACTGAAGCTCATTTCTTTACACCCATGGAAGAGGAACCCGTACAACTTCAACTGGCTCCATATTGAGCCACTAACAGCTTTCACGTGCCCTTCTTTATCAGGACACTAACAACAGTTATTGAACTTTATGCTTCAACAGGCCTGTCAATCTTTGTAAATGCCAGAGGACTCTGTTCTTGTTTCAATAAGCCTAAGGCAGAAACTAGACTTCCCCCTTTGTAAATTTTCTGGAGAGGCCTGTACTTAGGGAAAAGGCCATGCAAATTGTTCCAGCTTGATCTTCCACTTGATGTCAAAGGCTGGTTTTGTTCCAAATGCAAACTTCAAAAAGCATTTTTCAAACAAAACTAGCCATGAGAGACTGGAAGCTAGGATTCTTCTGATTGTGTGAATGTGCCATAGAGGTCATGGATGTGGCAGCAATTTGACTAATGTGACCAACACATCTGTACAAAAAAGAAAGACTGGGGGGGTGTAAGGAGTTATATGTTCAGAGAGGTACTTATAGGAATTATAGGGAGTGATAATACAGAGATAGCACCCGGTTGTCTCTTCCTAAAGCTGAGGCGGGTGGTGGTGGTTTCAGTGTGTACAAATAGGGTATGTGTGTACACACATTCATTTTCAAAGGGCACAGCTATAATTATTAAAAATGTCACTTTGAAAACATTGGCTAAATTAATATTATTTTCCTTAAAGATATTTATATGAACATCTTATTTGAAGCTCTGGTCCAAGGTTCAGCCCTGTCTTCAACAGCTGCAGGGTAGATTTAGGAGAAAAGTCTCCCACTTCCACAACTTTCCAGGACCAGTGACAAGACTCCTCTTTCTGTTCTGCTGACGACTCTGGTGACTCTTTAAGGGCAGAAGAGAATTCTGTCACGGTTTTCAAGACAGTCTATTTGATTTGACTTTTTATTTTATGGTTTTCTGCTGTTTTGCTTTTGTGGCTCGATGTCATCGCATTGTGCTAATGGGGCAATAGATAAATAAATGAAATAAAGAAATAATAACATGCTCTTCCTCACCCTGACTTCAGCCTCTCTGGGCTTCCCATTCAGGTTACACTTGGATCCATTGATGTAAGTCTGGCTGTGGTAACGCTTCAGCTTGTGCTGCTTGGAAGCCTGTGAGGGAAGGGGAGAACCAAAAAAGGCTTAAGATATTACTTTATATTCAACTACTTTTCCCTCATTCATTTCCAATTCCTCAAAAGCCCTCTTTTAAGCTTTAGTTGAAGGTAAATTTGCTCAGTGATGGGCCCAAATACAAGGAGAATTTCATTTATTTAATTAAAAGCATTTCTTAATTATGTCTCTACCTCAGCTAAAACTTCCTACTCAACAGAAGGAGGAAAGTAACAAGTCACATTCTTTTGTGTGGTGGCACTTTAAGTCAGGTATATACAGTAAGAGGTTTATTTTAAATACATTACACCCACATATGTATATGCCCGTGTATATGTATATTTTGCCGCCTTTCAAGAATAAGGACTTCCTTTAACCAACATCAAAGAGGAAGAGACCAAGCTCTCCACTCTGTAGAAGTACAGCCAAGCTTCCTTGGGTGGTTTACAAACAGTACCAAAATAGTGCTATTAAGTTATCAAAGCTCCTTAATATTTAAACTACAGTGGTGCCTCGCATAACGATTAAAATAGTGCTATTAGGTTATCAAAGCCTTAATATTTAAACTATTTTTTTAAATAAACCTGTCAAAAAAAAAAGATAGCTCTAAATATTCAATAGAAGAAAATACCCCCAAAACCCTTTCTCTTAAGAGAGAAAAGCAACCAAGTACAGTAGTGCCCCCCTAGACGCTTACCCCGCATGACGTCGAAATTGCTTGGCGATGACTTTTTTGTGATCACAATATGGTTCCTATGGGGGAAATCCACTTTACATTGATCAGGTCCCTGCTGTGAACCATTTGTTCGCTAAACAACGATTTTTCCGGCTCCGCAAAATGGCTTCCCTTCGCAAAATGGCTGGCTTCCCTTCGCAAAATGGCTGTTTTCCAGACAGAAGCTTCGGAAGACAGCAATTTTAAACAGCTGATCGGCGGTTCTCTATGGGCTGGACGATGAGGTAGTTCCTCATTGGAACACATTAACCTGTTTTCAATGCATTCCAATGGTTTTTTTTTCGCTTGACAACAATTTTGCTTAACAGCGATTTTCCTGGAACGGATTATCGTCGTCAAGCGGGGCACCACTGTATTTTTAATCACAGAGTCATGGAACTGGAAGGTGCCTATAAGGCCACTGGATTCAACGCTCTGCTCAAATCAAAGCAGCTCTGACAAATGGTTGTCTAATTTTCGCTTGAATGCCTCCAGCATTGGAGTGCTCACAACTTCCCGAGGTAATTGTCTCCCCACTGTTGTACTGTTAGGAAGTTTTTCTGATATTCAACCAAAATCTGGATTCCTGCAACTTGAGACCATTATTACATGTTCTGCACTCTGAGATGATCAAGAACAGATCTTGCCCCTCCTCTGTATGACTACCTTTCAAGTGTTTGAAGAGTGCTATCCTATCTCCCCTCAGTCTTCTTTTCTCAAGGTTGAACATGCCCAGTTCTTTCAGTCTTCTCGTAGGGCTTGGTTTCCTGTCCCGTGATCATCCTTGTGGCCCTTCTCTGAATGTGCTCCAGTTTGTTGGCATCCTTCAAGTGTGATGTACAGAGCTGGAGACAGCATTATAGATGAGGCCTAACCAGCACCGAATAGAAGAGAACTAGTACTGTACTTCACAGAATTTGGAGACTATACTTCCGATAATGCAGCCTAGAACTGCACTTGCCTTTTTTTGCAGCTCATATTCAACTTGTGGTCTACAACAATTCCAAGATCCTTCTCACGTGCAGTATTGAGCCACCTAAGTCCCATCTTGTACTTATTCCTCTCAAATTCCATTGTTATCTGTTACAATTTTTCTATCCCCACTGAGTAGGTGAGCCACTATGGGAAAACAGCAGCTAAGACAAGCTGTGCAAACAATGGAACAGGGTTCCCAGTCCAGGAGATTTTTTTTGACAATGATTCAGTTTTGGTATAGATAGTGCAAACCTGAAGAGTTCAGAATGGAATGGGCCAGAGGACTAAGGGAGGAAGAGCCTCTTACAAGGAAGTCAAACTTCTCCATCTTAAGTGTTGCAGTTGGCAAAGGGAAGAAAAACTGCTTATACCTTAAACTTTTGTATTAGTCTTAGGCAGATACAACCTCTTAGCCTTTCCACACTGCTTGAAATCTCACATCCTAGAGAATACCTACCTTTGCTGTTTCATTATCCCAGTCAAATGCTGACTGGTAATGTCCAAGGTACAGGATATCACCTTTGATTTCAGACTCTGGAAAGCAAACATAAGGTGAGATACGAATGATCAGTAAATAACCGGAAGCCAGGATCTTGCATCTGACAAAATGGACTTGCCCCATGAAAAGTTCTACTATATTGCATTTCTTATAAATGCCATAAGACACCTCGGTTTTGTTTCAAGAAGACAGTCTAGCGTGGATCAGAGGCAAAAAAAGAACCCTGTCTGAGCTGCTCGACCCCTTCCTTTCCAAGTCAAAATTTAGAAGACACTCTTAGCTGGCTGGCTGACCGTGATATTAAAAGCTTTATTTATGCATATCCTTCAAACACCAGGCCTACATAATTACTATCCTTTGAGAACATCATAAGGTCCTCAAGGAAACCCAAACACAGAAAAAACAGTGAGATAGCTGGCTGGCTGACCGTGATACTAAAAGCTTTATTTATGCATATCGTTGAAGCAAATCCTTCAAACACCAGGCCTACATAATCACTATCCTTTGAGAACATTGTAAGGTCCTCAAACCCAAACACAGAAAAAACAGTGAGATATAAGGCATGGTGTTTGTAGGCACTAATTCTGTGATTCTAGGTTCTGTGATATGTGGGGAAAATACAGGACTAAGGGTGCAACTACACAGCAGAATGGTTTGATCCACTGTGTAGTCACAGTTTTATCAAATCAGGGTTTCCCAAGAGAATCTCTGTGGCCACCCAGACTACAACCTGAGAAGTCACCAGAGCAAAGCCAACAGCAGAAGCTGCTTTAAAGTGCTAACAAAGTGCTAATTACAATTTCCACTTCTCTTTTTTTTTGTTCTAGTTCTACTGAAATTCTGCTGCAGTGTTGATTTGAAACCTTTTTTTAAAAAAAGACACTGTGTGGAGAATCAGTTGGCTAGTAAAGGGAATCTGACAGTATTTCCCTGTATTTCTTCTGATCTGTTGGTAATGTGCAATACAATGACTTATTTATAGGGAGTAACAACAACAACAACAATAGCAACCTGTCTACTAAACAGTAACAAGCAATGCAAAATTCCTTTTAAAATATGTCCGGAGCTCTGTCCATAAGCATCTCTAAAATATAATTCAGTCAAGTCAATTCTGACTCACAGCGACTCTTTTCAGGGTTTTTTTAGGTAGAGAGTACTCAGGAGTGGTGTCCCATTCCCTTCTTCTGGACGCACTGTGGGGACTGTGCATCTTGCCCAAGGCCACCCAGGCTGGCTCTTCTCACAGGAGCCACAGTGCAGAATTGAATTCTCAATCTCTGGCTCCACAGCTAGGTACCTAACTCACCAAGCTATCCAGCCAGGTATAAGTATCTCTAGAGCCTTATTAAAGATGCCCAAACTGGTGACTATGACTACATCTTGTGGTAGCAAACTCTACAGTTTAAACATACAGGATGTGACTTGACACTTCCTTTTTTCATCTCTTTAGTCTTCTCTGACTTTGTTTCAGCAGATGACCCCAGGTGAGACCTATTTTATTTATTTATTTTAGTAATTAAGTTTCTATCCTACCCACCGAGCAACCAGGAATTACTCTGGGTAGCCTAGACCAACAGGTAGATAAGCAACCAAATGACAAAGAAGGAGACTGTACCTTCCATGTGATATTGCTGGATGTGCTTCCCATAACAGAACTCGTATGTCCACCAGTCCTTAGTCTAAGGAAAAAATGGCAATATTAACCAAGGTACTTGATTAAGTGGAAAGCTTTGTTAAGTTCCTCACATACTCAAATTCTCTTAAACGACCAAGACACAAAAGTCTGCCACCAGAAAGGCCTAATCATGCAAATGAGCAGACAGTGCATCTTAGTGTTGAAACTCCCTACTTTTTTATTATAAATGCTGTTCACATACTCAAAGACCTCAAGAACTAATGCAGGAGCCTGAAAAGAACTACTGCAGTGCATTTTTAGTAGCACTGCAAGAGCAAACTAGCTTTAAAAAAATCTTAGCTGACTAATTGATTTAACCTAGGTAAGACTGAGCATCATTTTTTAAAAATGTGTATGTATCATATTTACGTGCCTTTCAATAATGCAAGTTCTCTATAAAAAAATTTCAGACTGCTCTGTTACTAAATAGCAACAAGATATAAAATTAAAGATGGCTTTTCTGTCCCATGATGAACATTGCTTTCATTCATTAAAAGGCACTTATTTCAAACTCCATTCAATAACATAAAAAGTTGCCCTGTACTAAGGTTTCAGAAAGTAACAACTTCCAGCCAGCAATCAATTGGCAAAACAGAGTCTACCTGTTCCCACTATGGCATGGTGGAAGGCGTGTTCGGGTTAAACACTAAGAATGCAGTTTCAAACTTCCGTCAGAAATTCACAGGACGGGCTTAGGCAAGCCTCACTTTCCACATCTGGGAAATGGGAACACTCACAAATGATCTCCAATGGTTTTATGTGATGATTATTTAAATGAAAGCACTTAACCTACTTAAAATTCTAATGAAAAAGTTAGTAGCCGGGAATGTTTGCTCATCTGGCCTGTTTTATGTGCTGTTATGAGCACTGCAAAGAAAAGCACTTCAGAGCAGATAATAATATAGATTATTAAAATGTAATGTTAATAGGGACCTCAGCATGGTATTCATTTCTCTTGGCTGTGTCCGTTCTCCCAATGATCCACTCCTTCAAAACCTAATCTAAAGTCACCTTGATAAGGCAAGGGGCCGCTTCCATCGGCTTCAGGAGTTCCAAAATACCCAACCCAGTATAGCTTTGTGGATCTTCCTCTTTGTCCTGGTGTATCTTCACAGCAGCCACTGGTAGCCGGCACTCGTATTTCTGCTTGTATTTGGATGAGATGGTCACCACATCAGCCGACTTGCTCTAGGAAGGTAAAAAAGAAGGGAGGCACATCTAATTAGACAGATACAATCTCTCACGAGGCTGGAAGGCAGCGTAAGTCCAGGGGACCCAAAAAGTGTAATCAGTCTGGGAATGATCTGACCTGTGATTTCTGAAAGAATGCCAGTTTTCCAGCACTTTAAATGCTATCTTGTGGATCTATAATTATATTATTTATTTTTTCACACATCAGCCTGGGAGGGCTGCCAAAGCAATACACGGGAGGAAAAGATGAAAACAGTCCTTAGAGCCAAGAAAAAGGAATTTAAATGCCAACAGTGATCATCCGTGCTCTTTAAAAACAGACCAACAATTCTAAACGCCAGTTTTAAAAACTGGTTTTTACACAAAAACGGTTACACAACGCAATGTAGTCTTGGCTGACTTCCCTTGGGAAGGAGTTCCACAGTTGAAATTCTGCTACAGAAACCGTCTGGTGCACAGCCCACTCCCTCCCATTTCCTTTTCATCTATTTCATCTATTTTGTCTCTTTGCTTTTTCCTACATTAAATTGGACGGGCACAGGAACTGCCTTCAAAAGCTGAGCATCCTGACTGTTCACCTCCTGCAGGGAAACTCAGAGGGCGACTTCCTTGATATGGAGACCCATTTTGATTGTGTTGAGAAATCATAGCCCCATTCCCCACAGAGCAAGAGCATGCTTCAGAACACTTTCATCTGGGGGATTGCTGGACAAAGACATTTATATCCGAAACTACCCTGAAGCTTGAGAAATACCACACCTTCCTGTAGATTCTGTACTCTGTAAATTTTGATACAGTTCTTAATTTTTTTTAATGCTAGGGTCTTCAGTATGATGGGCTATGCAGCAAGCACACAGAATTCTCAAATTCCTAATAAGAAAAATGGATTTCTTTATTAAACACATTGTGGGATTTGAGACTCCAACGGTAGAACAATGTGGGGAAGAAAAAGATAGCATTTGCTTTGTAGGTATCGAGCATGTAAATACCTGTGAGCTTTAACAGAAACGTTTACTTCTAGATGCCACCTTTAGGTAAGGAAGACCAAAAAACTTTCAGGGTCCTTTTATGGAGATATTTCTGGATACACAAATTCACATAGCAATAACACATAATTACATGAACAGAAGATCACTCACTGCCATGTCCTTCAACAATCAACACAGTCAGCAATGCTTACATAACCAACATGCAAAGTCAGCACTAAGAGGTCACTGCGGGTTCAGCTCCAACAACCCAGCAACTACTACTAAGGTATAAGAAACCAGAATACAGGTGCCTGCTCTCTAAAATATAACAATGAGAAGCTTGTTTATAGAAGAGGCTCATGAAACCCAAACTAAGTGATACTAAGGGACAGTGCATGCCATTTTTTAAAAAAAGGCCTGAAATCAACACCAGGGTAGATAAAAATCAATGATATTTTAAAAATCAACTTGATTTCATTCACAATTTAAATATACTAAAAAACATTTTTAAAAGTTAAATCGTGATTGAAATCAAGTTGATTTAAATCAAAATTTCATTCGCAATTTAAATATACTATTTTTTTAAAAAAAAAGTTAAATTGTGATTGAAATCAAGTTGATTTAAATCAAATCCACCCTGTGACAAAGTATCTCAAGCCCGAAAAAGGAATCTGTTACTGAATAATGTAACAGTTACTTCACAGGGCACAATCTATTTAGCACTCACTTAATTAGCAGAGTGAAGGCTGAGCATGTGTGCACACTATGTGTCAACAGCAGAACCCATTAGAAATAAAGACACCAGGAGGTCTACCAGTTAGCTATTTCCAGACAAGCCTCCAGAACTCTGGAAGAGACCCTGGCCCTGCTTTAGCTTTGTAGAGGCAAGAAGAAGAGAACTGGCCAACGTATGTGAGCATCTTTTGAGATCAGGGCGCTGCTGCTGCTGCTGCTTGTTTACAGCTTGAAGGAAAGGAAGCCCCCAAAAAAGGACAGGCTTCCTTTGACCGTCTCTAGTTCTTACTGTTTTCAGCAATGAAATAGACAGTTCCTCTTTCTTGATTTTTTGTTTGTTTGTTTTCAAAGCTAAGTTCCCCAGGCAGCTGGGTTCTGTGAACTTCACCACACTCGAAGGCTTTTCTGTATTTTCACAGAGTGACAGAACGCCCGCGACGGCGGCCTTTTTCAGCCTGCAAAGGAGGACAACAAGGGCAACAGCAACAGTGCTTAAGGCACCTCCAGCCAGCCTTCATATTCCCCTGAGGCACTCACAGCACAGATGGTGCAAGGCTGAGGTATGATGACGCAACTCTTGCTAGCCGAGCAAACATACTGTGAGTGCTGTCCTCTGAAGATGCCGGCCACAGAGACTGGCAAAACGTTAGGAAAAACAACCTTCAGAACACGGCCAAAGAGCCCGAAAAACCCACAACAACCATACTGTGTTTCCCTGAAAAATAAGACAGGATCTTATATTAATTTTTGCTCAAAAAAACCACAAAACATTCAAGCTTATTTTCAGGGGATGTCTTATTTTATAGTCATGTCATCTTCTGGTTGCTGCACAATGCAGCACAATGGTGGAGAGCAGGGTTTCACTCAACTACGGCTTATTTTTGTGGTAGGGCTCATATTACAAGCATCCTGAAAAATCCTACTAGAGCTTATTTTCAGGTTAGGTCTTATTTCCGGGAAAACAGGGTACTCTCAGCAAGGCAACTTGTCAAGGAGAGGGCCAAGAAAGCCCCCATTTTTGCAAAGGGCAAAGATAGGGCCCGTGGGAAGCAAGACAGCTTGACAGGGGCCTAAAGGGAAAATTGGGGCCTGGATGATCATCATTACTCTTTGACTACAGTTAACTATTCTTGACCATGAAGCCAAGAATACCTTTGAAACACCTAAAGGTAAAGCAGGCTTTAGGGTTTTCCAAATCCTCTGAAGGTATCAAGAAAAGATGTCTGCACACAACCACAGCTTCCCCAAAACTCCAAACATATTTAAAATGTGCTCCTCCTGTCTACGACAATTTACAGTTGTTTGTTTCTCTTTTAAGAGACCTTTTACGTTTTAACCTTCCCTGGCTTCCCTAACATAAATGCTCAAGATCAACTGTCAGTTTCTTGAATACCCTTAATATCAGGTACAGTAAAGCACACATAGGCCAAAGTCCTGCACATGTGTGTACATTAAATTGCACAGCTCACTGCAACAAAGTCCTGAACTAACAACATGCTAGCTGCAGTACATGGCACACACCATGACTGGCAGATTGTTAGCAGCAATTTATTGTAGTGAGTTATGCAATGTAATGTATACAAGCATAAAACAGCAACAAGATTCTGGCCCTAAGATGAAATACATGTCCTTATCTACAATGAATGATTAAAATTAAAGTATTGAAATGAGATTAATTATAATTGGCCTACACTGCTCATGTTGGTACTGTTGTATTCCTACAAGATCATTAAATGATTAATAACCAGATTTTTTGTATGCTTATTGGATAAAGGGTTCAAATCATCACCTTGTGTTATTTACTGATCTGTTCAGGACTAGACTGCATATTCTGAGCTTTTAATATTTATTTATTATATTTATATCCCCTACCCATCTAGTCATTCAATTACTCCGGGCGGCGTACATCATACAAAATAAACAATTAAAATAACACCAGTATCAAAAATAAAAAGTTATTCAAGATGGAAAAAATAAAGAAGATAGATCAAATAGTGCCCGGAGGGAAGGCCTGCTTGAATAGCCAGGCTTTTAATTGGCTTTTAAAAATACCCAGCGAAGAGGCCATACGGATCTCTGAAGGTAGATTATTCCATAACCAAGGAACGACTGCCGAGAAAGTCCGATTTCTTGTTTTTTCCTTCCAGGCCTCTCTGGGCGTTAGGCTCCTAAGTTGTAACTCCTGACTAGATCGAGTGATACGGGTAGGTTTTGGTGGGAGAAGGCATTCTGTCAGATAGTGAGAAAAGGAAAGCTTTCACAATTTGACTCGTTGTAACTCCTGACTAGATCGAGTGATACCGGTAGGTTTTGGTGGGAGAAAGCATTCCGTCAGATAGCGAGAAAAGGAAAGCTTTCACAATTTGACTCTAAACAAAACTTAAGCTGAATGTATTATCAAATGTAATATCAAGTAGGAAATCTTTCTATTCTTGTATTTTTTAAAAAAATTTCTCTTAGCAGTAAGAAGACCCGGTGAAAAATTAGTCATTTTCTGATCCTCTTCCAAGGCCCCCTTCTAATGTGTGACATGCCACACCTTTAAAAAGAGAAAACTGGAATGCTAACAATAGTGCATTAGTCCAGCTACTATTTACCAGTACATGGCTTTTATCTTGGATACTCAGAAATCATATAACTATCAGCATTTTGCCCCTCATCTTATAAAATATGCTACTTCTAATCTCATGGCAAATCAGTTTCCTTGCAGCAAATGTAATGCATCAGGCTTGGGGGTTTGTTTCTGTAGGTCTTAGCATGAAAAGCATAAACAACTGAGAATGAAGGGAGGTGTATACTGGTAATGGAGCTTGCTCTGAACCCATCATGTCTCAGATTGATAGGGAGGGAAAAGAATTACACATATTCCCACTAATATGTAATGCGAAGTAATTACTATAAGGAATAACAATAACTTGCAATAAATAGAAATTATTAAAGAGTACTTGTCATATGGAAACAAAAATAAAGGAACTGTCCTTATGCTTATTTCTTGAACATGTTACTGCATAGTCCTCTTAAAACATCCACAAATAATGAACATTTACTATTTAGGATTACTGTTCCTGCAGCAAAATGCAGAGCAAGCTTTAGCACTATACACCTTGTTTCCCCTAAAATAAGACCTAGCCTGAAAATAAGCCCTAGTGTGATTTTTCAGGATGCTCGTAATATAAGCCCTACCCCAAAAATAAGGCCCAGTTAAGTGAAACCCCACCCCCCACCACTGTACAACAACCAGAATAATATAACATGACTGTATTTGAAGAAACGTAGATTGTTATACATGAAAAAAATAAAGCATCCCCTGAAAATAAGCCCTAATGCATTTTTGGAGCAAAATTTAATATAAGACCCTGTCTTATTTTCAGTGAAACAGGGTAGCTCAAATGCCTGCCTATGATTAGGAAAATAACTTACTAAGCAAAACCCTATTGGCATAAATTTATGCCGATGTAAACAATATCAGGTAGAAATATTAAAATTTAAATAAAAGCTTCATGCTCTCCTCCCCCTTCCAGGTTCAGAGGCTCACTAGGGCTCTGATTTACCCTGGGGAAGCCTTTGGGAGCCTCAAGATGAAAAACAAGGAGGCTTTTACAGTTAAAATTCATTTCCAGCCGCACTGATGCTGGCAGCAGCAATCTAGTAGTGACTGTTTTATTATTAAAGACTACCCTCTTGTCCTGAGGCTCTCAAAATCTTCCCCAGGGTAAAAGGGAATCTTCTTGTTGTTTAGTTGTTAAGTCGTGTCCAACTCTTCGTGACCCCATAGACCAGAGTACGCCAGGCCCTCCTGTCTTCCACTGCCTCCCGGAGTTGGGTCAAATTCATGTTGGAAGCTTCAATGACATTGTCCAACCATCTCGTCCTCTGTCGTCCCCTTCTCCTCTTGCCTTCATACTTTCCCAACATCAGGGTCTTTTCCAGGGAGTCTTCTCTTCTCATGAGATGGCCAAAATACTGGAGCCTCAGCTTCAGGATCTGTCCTTCCAGTGAGCATTCCTTCAAATGGATAGGTTCTCTTTGCAGTCCAGAGGACACTCAAGAGTCTCCTCCAGCACCACAATTCAAAAGCATCAATTCTTTGGTGGTCAGCCTTCTTTATGGTTCAGCTCTCACTTCGATACATAGCTACTGGAAAAACCATAGCTTTGTCTATGTGGACCTTTGTCAGCAAGGTGATGTCTCTGATTTTTAAGATGCTGTCTAGGTTCATCATTGCTTTCCTCCCAAGAAGCAGGCGTCTTTTAATTTCGTGGCTGCTGTCACCATCTGCAGCAATCATGGAGCCCAAGAAAGTAAAATCTGTCACTGCCTCCATATCTTCCCCTTCTATTTCCCAGGAGGTGATGGGTCCAGTGATCTTAGTTGTTGTTTTTTTATGTTGAGCTTTAGACCATTTCTCGCGCTCTTCTCCTTCACCCTCATTACAAAGTTCTTTAATTCCTCCTCACTTTCTGCCATCAGAGTGGTATCATCTGCATATCTGAGGCTGTTGATATTTCTTCTGGCAATCTTAATTCCGGTTTGGGATTCCTTTAGTCCTGCCTTTTGCATGATGTATTCTGCATATAAGTTAAATAAGCAGGGAGACAATATATACAGCCTTGGGAACCCTCCGAACATGAAGCGGGATAGGAACCTTTCCATTAGCTTAAATTATTTCCAGGAACCAATCTAGGTTACTGGCATACATGTACACAACAAGATTTTGTCCACAGAATTTTCTTCTCAAAGTGTTTCAGTTAGATCAGTTCTGAAGTATCTCTGTCAACACAGTAACGTCTCTGCAGACAGCTGATGAGCCTATATATGAAGGGTTTTTTAAAATTTTGCCAAACAGTCATTAAATGCAAATGATATAGAATATGATATTTTTACACAAAGCTCATACTTATCGTTCAACGCTAAAGATTTGTTTTACCTTGTTACTGCACAGTACCATCAGCATGCATTGCATATTATAAAACTCCATACACAAAGTATAAATGTTTGGCATCCAGGGTGCTTCCAATCTGAAACAGACATCAGAGGAAAACAAAAGAGGGGAAAACAAATGTAGGGGGATTATTTACACGACTGAAGTCTTGGGATACAGAACCTTTGTATCAGATCAGACAACTTGCAGAATAAATCCTTTTGCCTACTTAGGCTGGCAGCAGCTCTCCATGGTTTCAGTCAGCAAACCTTTTGCAGTAAGAGCAATGTTTTTAGCTAGAGAAACCACGGACCAAACTGGGGATATTCTGCATGGAAAGCAGGTCCTCAGCCATGTTCTGAGAATGGAGATTAAGTATACATCAGAAATCCAGGAGAAAAGGTTATGTAGGAAGAGGCCCATGAAGGGCAAGGATAAGAGTAGCACAACATATCCACTCAGCAAAGATTCCAATTTCCCACCAGTGGCCCACAAAGACATACACTTCAATAAGCCTATGGATCTTTACGGAGATTTGTGTAGCAAAAACACAAATCTTTGTTTTTGCTACACAAGACTACCACTCCATCATCTGAAGCTTCCTCTTCTCTCCACACTCAGTCGTTCCCTGCTACACTAGGATATCCTCAGATAGATATATGAGTTTAGCCTAGTGAGCGAGACAGGGAACGAGCATGTATGCATACATAGTCACGTTTTACCCACCCGTGTTGCAGACTTTGCACCCGTTTTCATACCGTGGGCAAGTGTTTTGCACAGTCTTTTCTTCTTGAGCGGCATGCATTTTTGCGAGCAAAGAGAAGTCGGGACCCTGATCCCAAAAGCAAGAGGCAAACAAGAGGCATCGGAGAGGCTTCAGGCAGCCTTGTGGCACTTTGGAAATTGTAGAGTGGCAGTCTTTCAGCCATCACAAGACTCCTCGACGCACGGGCTGCAAGAGGCTTAACGCCAGCGCTACGACCCCCTGGCGATCTGACACTTCCCCCTTGCTCCCGCCCCCCCATCACCTTAACTCGGCCCCAGCTGGCCATACCTGTCCGGCCATCACGGGCTCAGCACCGATCTCAATCCCATATTTCATCTCGCTGAGCTCATGTAAGTTCAAGGTACCCAGCGTGTCGCCTCGGCTCAACGCCGACACCACCACGAAGACCAGAAAAGGGCCGCCAAACCTCAAAATATGGGTCGCCGCCGCCATCTTCCCCTCACGGCGTCCTCCTGTTTTGATTGTTGCCCTTACTAAGAGCCACGACTTCCGCCCTTCCTTTGGACTCAATTCCTTTGAGCCTATGGCCCGGATGAGACGTCAATTAGCACCACGGAGCTTTCTTATTGGTCATTGGAACGGAAGTGGGAAAGAGGGGGGCGTGAGGCTTTCTTGAAAAACCTGGTCGAAAGAGATTGGGTCGCTCCGTTGACCAATCAAGAGGGAGTGCGCTTGTACAAGGCTGCGTCTAAAGAATAAACCTGGTGACAGGCGATTGGTGGAAGTTAGGAAAGCGAAGCAGCCAATCGGAATGGCAAGCGCCTGCAGCGCTAAAGAGTTGATGGGTTTTGGTTTCATGGATGAGGCAGGGCATTTTTTAAAAAACATATTTGAAAATCCTGGTTATCTGTATCTTCCTATTTCGGTAGCATGATTACCAATCTACTGTATAGAATTACAAGCCTGCTTGGAAGTATATACTGTATTGAAAAAAGAAGAAAAATGTCCTTTAGTTATGATGCAAATCAACGGCCTTTGGTACCTTCATTAGTTAGTCATTAGACTTATAGCGACCCTAATGGGGTTTTTAAATTTTTAACAAAACTTAATTTTAGACAACCAATCACATTATAAACAGATATTACAATTCATCTTATTTAGTAACTATTTTAACATTCTGAACACCAGCTATTCACACCATTTAGCAAAATTACAGTTAATCTCAAATCCCCATTCCATCCAATAAAGTTACCGACCAAAAATCTGAACAATCTTGATTAGTTTCTAAATCATGTGACTTCTCATTTAGTTCATTGGCATACTTGAACTAAATGAGACCAAGTTTCAAAAAAAATTGACTGTGCTTTATTTCTCCTCTGTATATTCTGATCTTATTAGTCAATTTCCCCACCAAGCGTGTTTTCCATATCCTAATTAAAATGTCTGTAATGAAAGATCTTGGGCATTATTCCAGCTTTAGGAATTTCAGACATTGCCATTCCTATATTTGCAATTATGTCTTTATTACATAGCTTCTCATTATGCTGAAAATAATAGTAATGTTTCATTTGCATTTATTTTTATTAGTATTTCTGTCCAATTGATTAATGCCAAAATGTTTGTATTTGGGGGCAGAACAACAACAACATGTGTTCCGAAGTTCCCTTTCACCCATATTTTCTCCAAGACTTATCTGATAGTTCCCTATGGATTTTACATAGCTTTGTAAGATATGGATGCCATCTGTGAACAACTTTCAAAACTGTTTCTTTTGTTTTCGCTGATACTGATTTATATGGATATTTATTCCATATTCCTGTCCAAACTTCTCCACGTATATTAATATTTAAATTTGTTTCCCAGGATGCTTTGGTTCCTCTGCTCTTACCATGTTCTATCTCAATGATACATTTATATATTGAGGTCAATCCTATCCTTTTATCTTTTTGTTTACAGTACTGTTCAAATTCTGTTAATGGTCTTATAGGGCCAGATTTTTGATATTACTGTATTGCAGAGATCCTTATTTGTTTTATTTGTAGCCAATCGATTCTTATTTGCAAAAACAAAACAAAACAAAACAGAGCGACCCTAATAGGTGAGTGAAAAATTTTCTCTTGCTTTCAGTGGGATTTAAGCTTTTCCTGAATTGTGACTATTGACTTCAGCAAGACTTGACACAAGATTCATGATGACTTTATGTTTTCAAGGGGTTTGGGGCAAAGTGCCCTTTCTGGGGTATCCCATAGGGCCATCTTCTGGGAACCCTGCCCCAACCACTTCCCCTTGTGGATTTACCGAGTGGATGTCTAACAGTTGATATTCAGTGGTTCTGACCACACCACTGCCACTATATTCATTTGCCCAGATTGCAAAGATTGTGCACTTATGTGAAAGCTGATGAGTGTGTTTACTTCTATTGCAAACCTCCCAAGCCATGCTTGTTGAGCAGATCATTCAGTGCATATCCTGTGGCCAGCACCCAATGGCAAGACAAATGACCCATCAGCAGCATAGAGTAGAAACACCCGGGCAGAACCCTGTTAGCATTGAAGTCTTGTGAGAACATGATACCATACACACAGTATGTAGGACATTGTAGTTTCAGGTTCTAATATTCTTCAGTGTGCGATGTGTTGGTCCTGAGTTTGCTGCTTTCTCAGACTCAGTGCTTAGAAAAGTTGCTTTTTTGCATTATAACTCTCCAAATCTCCCAGCCAGCAGAGACTCGGACTTTTCCAACATCTGCACCAATTGGATCCCATCAGCTTGCTGTCTATCTAGATTAGGCTCCTTCTATTGCTTTCAGTCTTTAAGAATTTTTAGAAAATGTTGGGTTTTTTTAAAAAGTTTATGTCAGTGCTAATGTCAGATTCCCCCTGCAGAGGAGACAAGATGTTAAAGCTATGCTAGGATAAATACATAGTCATTTGTTTGCTTACTGATACAGGGTGAGCAAACAGGGAGTGTGGACAAACTGGGGCCTCTGTGAGGATAAGATTACACTCCATGTATCTCAGAAATGCTGGTTTTTAATTTACAGGTTTTTAAGTGTTTTTGAATTGTTTTTACACTTGATTTTTAAAAATCTTAATGTATGTTTAACTGATTTTTACATATGTTATTTATTTAGTGTTTTCCCCCTATGGGGAGAAAAGTGGCAGATAAACAATTTAAATAAATGAAACAAACTTAAATATACACATCTTCAGGTCTGTCTCCCTGTTTTACACCTTAAAGTGGTGGTGGTGGTAGTGGGGAGATGCTGAAGTGCTTCTAGTGGAAGATTTTTTTAAAGTCGCCCCACTGCCCCATAGTGAAGGTACAATATTCAGGTGGAAAATGATTTGCAGAAAAAGGGTTTACCTTTCCCCACCTGTGGAATTTAAGTTAGTATGTAATTATTAGCCATGAGTCACATTTGCTTTTGTAAGACTGCTGTTCCCTCTTTGACATTACCTACATTGCTCAATTTGTCAGAAAATAATTAAGCTTCTGGATCCATAGTGGATTTATATTAAACTTTACTCTTTTTAATGTATTGCTACATGGGTGCATCTTGCTCTTGAATAGTGAAACATTACCCAGTGTTCGGAATCCTTCAAAAGTACTGGCAAGAGACTAATGACATTTCTGTGATATAAGACAGTGGTCCCCAACCTTGGGCCTCCAGATGTTCTTCAACTACAATTCCCAGAAGCTTTCACCACCACCTTTGCTGGCCAGGATTTCTGGGAGTTGAAGTCCAAGAACATCTGGAGGCCCAAGGTTGGGGACCACTGATATAAGACATATACCAGATCTTTGAGAAATTTAGTTGTTCTGAACTACAACTTCCAAAGTCTCCTACTTAAATAATAGGAGGAGAACCACTGTTAAGTGAATGGTGCCAGTCCAACATTGATCCAAGATACCATGGATAATGCTGCCAAAAGCCACCAGAAGAGGGAGCAACAGTAACAGGGTCACATGCCCTCTACGACTTTCCCAGTAAAGATCTACAATGGAAATTTCTGTCCCAAAGCCGGACAAGCACCTAGTCTGCAAATGGGCAGGCCAAATTCCAGGGGGGTCGAGAGTTGACCCCAACTTGGAGGGCCACATCTACCATTTTGGCCATGTGCCCCTTCCCAGTAGATATTGTTTATGTGCTAAAAAATGACTCAGCTTGTCCCCAAAAGTTTGTGTGTGATGCAGTTGGCCATTTCTGGTCATTTCCAAGTGAGACTGAGCTGGGCCTATTATAGGCCAAGGAAGCTTTCTTCAAAATAAGATGAGACTGACGTTTTTCAGGGTGGGGAGCACAGCATACGTGGGAGATGCAGAAATTGGCTAGGTGACTACATGTTTGCACATTTTGCTCATTCCTGGTCTAGAAAGCCAGTATCTTCCTGGAATGCCTGAAGCCAAATTGCTAGCAGTATCTTAGGGTATGCTGATTTTTTTTTTAAGGAAAGACTTCAAGTTCAAGGAGGATTATTTAAGGAATGGGCATACCTTAGAATCATAGAATAATTGAATTGGAAGGAGCCTGTAAGGCCAGTGCTAGAAAAGCCTTCACATGTACTGTGCTGTTGGGGTTCAGGCAATGAGCAGGCCGATGGGCTTTGTGGTGATCACCATATAATGGATAGCAAAGAGTCTTAGCAATAGATTAAAGAAGTCAGCCACACACACAGATGGATGTCTGCCAGCAGTACTCCTGGTGGGCGACTCAGCAAGGAAGCAGAATGAGAAGTCTGTGACGTTCTCTCTCTCTTGTCCATCTCAGTCTCTCTCTCCCCTGCCCCCAGGAGACTGTCCTTTTATTAACATTACAAGGTCACAGGTAGTGACAGCATTACAGATAGTAGACAGAGTTCAGATAGGACAATGGTTACATCATGTTATTAGGGTTGGTCTGGAGAAAGGCAATTAATCAAGCCCTCTTATTGGCCTAAGGAAAGGCCTCTATAGCAAGCTCTCTATGATAATGAGAAGGAGGGAGAATGATGGCAGCTCCTTCCCTCAGAAGCAGCCATAGGATGCTAGGAGAGTTTTCCCTCACTAGAACACCCATGTGGCTTAGCAACCTTAGGAATGGTACCCCCACACCGTGCCTCCTAGTGGATGCTGACATGCGCAGAAGAACCCGGCAGAAATGGGTGGCTGACCCTTGCCACAAATGCACAAACAAAACCTACACACAAACAGCTGGGATGGAGGAGAGCAGTGGACAATATTTATTTATTTATTTATTTATCTGACCTCCTAACAACACATTCTTATACAGATCTATTGGTACAAGCTGATAATTTATTTAGTTATTTATTTATTTAATTTATATGCCGCCCACTCTACCCAAAGGTCTCTGGGCGGCTTACAACAATATCTACACATGCACAAGCACAAACCTAGTCTAAGGCAAGGGCACCACATTTTTCCCTTTCCCTTCATCCTAATAACGTGGCTTCTTCTGCTCCAAAGGAGGAGTCAGATGAGAAGATTTTCTATACTCAATCAAAAGAATAAGAAGATGACGGAGGAGGAGGAGGAAACACGATCATTCTGTACAAGAGATGG